GATAACTTTTTGTCAATTACTTGAGTAAGAACTTGGATAAGTACTTTAATAAGCAATTCAACAAATACTTAACTAAGAACTTGACTAAGAACTTCGAATTATATGTGAACAAATAAAGTGGATGATAAAGAACCTAAGACTGAAGAAGCACCAGCTCAACAGGTGACTTCAACTGATAAAAATAAGACGAAATCAAACAAAGGCCCACGGCGTGTCGCAGCTGGAAAAAAAATACTTGCTGAACACAACAGTAGCGTGAGAGAGGAAAAGTTGAAGAAGAAAGGAGGTTCAAAGCAATCCAACAGTCCAAAGATCCGAAAGATCTAGGGCTCAGAGGGGCAGGACTACAATCAGAACTAGAAAAATCATCATTATTCTCAGTCACTCAAATTCATTCAGTAGCAAGTTTAGTTTTCTCACTGGCTGGACTGTATTAGAAAAGAAAAGAGTTGAAGGCGTTCTGCGCCCCGGCCAAAGGCTTGGCTCTCGTTAAAAACCCAAAACCACAGGCTCAAACGATGACTTCTGATCCGAGTTCAAATCTCATGAACTATGTGAAGTTCTCTGTGGTAATCGCTCCGTCAATCGCGGCAAAACAGAATCTTGAAGATCAAAAGATTTTTTCATCTTAAAAGTGTTCAGCAGATTTGCAATGAATGGAATTAAGTAAGCAGTAGTCTGCGCAATCATTAAGACTGTCTTAACATTCTATATCAGTGAGAAGCCAGAACGAGGAGTGGCATATAGAGGAAGAACTTTGTCAAAAGTTTCGTGATGAATACTTGTCGATTTTCAAATACAGTGATGCAGATAAATAAAATAGTAGGCATAGCGATAAATGATTGGGGTGGCGCTCATCAATGCGACCGCTTTTGTTGGTGAAAGCTATCTCGCAAAGTATTTAAGTAGGGACCAGAACAGTGCTGATTAAGAGAAGAAGAGGCATGATTTCGCTGTGGAGAAGTACCAAGTGGCCTATAAAAAGCATCAAGAAAATATGACAAAGCTTCTTGATTGGATTGCAACTAATGACAGAGTCAAGGAGCACTGTGAAATGATTTACCTCGGAGGAATGGCTTTGGCTTTGGGATTGGCCGCCAGTTGTTTCTTGTGAACATACAATAAAACGGAAAGAAAACTTTCAAGAATCTACTTTAGCCCTACTGGATTTTGGAAGGGATTGCCACCTGAGGATCACTGTCAAGGCTAGCACCTGAATGCATCCCAGTGACTGGCCTAGCCAGGGATGGGTTACAAAAGACTTTGTGTATGAAGTGGGTAGGAAGGGTAGGTTTCTTGACTCCTTGTCCAATTAGGGTATTTGAGGATGCTTAACGTCAAGGATATCATGTGCATGCAGCCCTTTCACTTGCTCATCTAAGTGTGGGTTGCAAATGGCTCTGTTTCTAAAGCTCAGGGGTAGGGAGGGCAGGTGTTCTACTCCTCGACCAACTGGAGGTTCTCGTGATGCTACCAGGGACTTCTCAACCCATGTTTGTGGCACCCTGTCCCGCAGAAATGCTAGTCAGGCTTGTACCCTTTTGCACTTCGGCCATTGCAAACCTTCCATAGCTGAGGGGTGGGCGAGTGCCGAATGCATGGATCCGGTGGGAGATTTTGGTCATTTCGGTGGTTTTGAGCTTCACTTTACGTGTTTGGTGGTTTCGTTTGGGTCGTCTCGATGGTTTTGTTTCTGGTTGTTAGGTTTTTGTCATTTTGATGGTTTCGATTTGTTCGTTTTAGGACCACTTGGGGCAGCTTATCTAGTTGGACCATTAAACCGCTAGAGTACTTCATCTACTTCAACTGAACCATTTGTTCCACTAGTTAACCGTTTTTCAAGTCTGACCAATTTTTCATCAGTTGGACATAGTTAAACTTAACCAACTGGATCATTAACACCAGTAGAATCATTTGAACAAGCTAGACCATTTAAGCTGCTGGACTATTTTACGTAGTTACCCCACTTTTGACCAATTGGACCATTTCAAGACGTTGGACTATCATATCTAGTTAGAATGTTTTAAGAGCTAATGTCAACAAGCATCAAACAAACAGCGGCAAGTCACCCAAAATTGCTTACACTCATTCTTTCTTAATTTGTAGCCCAATATGTCCTAATAATTGCGGAGTATTTAGTTTTCGAGAAATAATTTTTTTAGTTCGACCGCTCAAATATGCAAATTTTCACCCTAAATGTTACTCGAGTTGTGTGACCTCGTGTAACGAATATACTTGACCTCCGGTATTTCTGACAACATAATTCTTTGTTGTATCATCTAAACTTTATCCCCTGACTTTATTGAAGCTGGAAAAGAAATATTTATTTTTTGGTGAATATTTTTGTCCGACATACTTTTTCTATGTCGAAAAGTAGCATCGAAACAAAGACAATTTAAACAATGACCGATATGACAAAATCTACTGAGCTTCTAGCTTTTATAGTACAAAAGAATGGTTATGAAGTTACTGTAAAAGTTTCTTTGTGTATTTTTGTCGTTCTAACGTGAGACGAACTCAAAGTCGGGCAAAATTTACTTGCTAGCGACTATGAAATATACATGGTGTCTACTTGTCGCCACCGTTTACTGGCGTAAATCACTACAATTTACCAAAAAAATCTAACATAACACTCTTGCCATTTTTATTTAGGATTTTAATAGCTGTTTCAATGATCACGTTATTCTCTACCATATTCTAGTCAGAGTTGAGTTCCAGTTTATATACCTTCTCCATCTTATTTTATCAGTTACATGACGTGACACATAAATTCAAAGATGGATCAACCTCCGAAATACCAAGAGATTGTTTTTTTCCTCTTTGAATGATATATAGAAAAACCTTCCAGGAATTTCTGTATTCAGAAAACTAAAATGTCCAGATTCATCACTGACTCCTTTGCCAGCGTAAGTCAGAGAATGTTTACAAAAGTCAATTTGATTGACAAGGTACATACTATAGCGTGTTGATCTGTTGTATAAGCGACTCATCTTACATGCTAACATGGAGATTTGCTGTTCATTTTGCGTAGTTGTAAAAAGGACATTTCAAGCCACTTGCGGAGTTGCAAGTTTTCAGATGCAGAAAATGAAGTTGATCTGATTTTGTCGCGAGCCGGCATCTTCAAGACGCCGAAAGATATCGATGACTTGACAATTCGCCCCACTCGTAGATCAAATCTCGGTGTTGGGTGAAGTCGTGGTTCCAATACCAGGTGTAGGGTGCCAAAAGAAGTGTCCGGCCACAGTGAAGGTAGGGTCAATCGATGATTTGACAATTCGCCCCACTCATAGATCAAATCTCGGTCGATTCCAAAAAACGATAGGGGAATTGGCAATTATCCGTGAGTGTTCTGCACTAACGGATAATACTCAAGGTATCCGGAAAATTCATACAACCTGGCTTCAGTAAGTACGCTACTTACCACCGCGTGCAAAATTACGCGTCCCGTCAGACTTAAGTCTCGACTGGGAATCGGTCAGTAGGCTACCAAACATCTAGACAAAGGCGGAGTTTTCTATACCAATGTCGGAACACTTTGTTGGCTTCCCATTACCGTAATGGGCTCCTGTTGACAAAAACTGTCCTGTTAGGCGGCAGGACGGCCGTACTTTTGAAGTTTTGTTCGTCTTGACATAATTTGGAAGGGATTAAAATAAGTGCACGTCTGTATTTGTTTAAAAGCGTTTTTTACTAATTTTTTTGGAAATTTTACAGACTTGCGTACTGCGAAGGGCCGTAACTGTTTCAATCAAGCTCAATGTTTTTAGTTGTACAGTACGTCCATAATAACTGAGGTTTTCTTATTAGGTATGTGCACTGACTGCGAAAAAAAGTTAAGTCCTATGGAGCTGGTGGAGGTTAACTTCGGAAATGTTGCACGCACGTTTGAAAACCTTTATTTGGTAAGAGTACGTTAGTCTGCGTAGCCAGTCATCCAAAGGGAGGGAAGTCTCCTCTCCTCTCCAATTGAGAGCCTTTTACGCTGCTGGATAAAAGTACATATACCACGCAGCATAAACGCCCACCAATTTAATACTCGTTTTTCACGGTAAATTTTGTTAAAATTCATTTCAAAGAAAGTGCATATCTTCGCTTTGGATTTGACAAAGAACAAAAAATTCTGCACTACGGAATCTAAAACACTAAGCCACACGAGCTACCTTAAGTAACATAAAACGTGCGCGCAGATCGAGCGCAGAGAAAGTTAGTGTTAATTGCAGTTGAGTTACTATACACTTCCATTAAAATTGTTTTAGTCTTATTTTGCAACAATAGAGAATAGGCTTTTGCTTTAAATATTCAGGAGGAGCATGAATTAAGACTGACAGTCCATAGTCCAGCGACCTCTTCCTTCATACCCCCAATAACCACACCTGGGAGCCTCTATGAGCCATTGGACGTGTCATTGTCGTTTACGGAAGTGCATGGTGACAAAAAAGCAGTTGTAAAGCTTAGAGACCATCTTAATACCTTCCTTACTGCACGCAACACCGGGGGATGAAGCTTCGGCACGAACAAAGCGTCAGCATACCAGGAGGGCCAGACAGGTCATTGATGCATGTCTTGAAGAAATCGCCCCGCAATAAAAACATAATCTTTTAAGAATAGTCTGCGAATCCCAAAATACTAGTGAAAATATCGACCCGATACTGCTTGAGGCACTAGTTGAATGCTATAGCAATGCAGACCACTGGGGTACACGACGACAAATCTTGTCTATCATAGCTGACAAAGTCTCTTTCAAAGACCTACAAGTGTGGATACCAAATCTCACCAGATACAGGTACAATATTGCAAGGCATCACTGTTTACTACATGGACGAGGGACAGCTGTCACAACGACCCCATCAACAAGAATTTATGTTGCTTCAGAAAGACTAGATCACTTCTTATCCCTTATTACTAGCGCTTATGTGGTCCAAGATCTCCCTTTTGGGGAGAAGTTGTTAAAGCTGTCATCGAATGTGGAAATTAAGGTCCCAAATGTCATTAGAACAATGATTCCAGAGCAAATCTTCAGCCAATATCGAAGTCATTGTAAAGAGTCTGGCTTCAGTCCGATGAGTAGAAGTACATTATGCAGAGTATTAAAAGTATGTTCAGCTTCTGTGCGCAAATCACTGCAAGGTCTGGACTATTTTTCAGCAGATGGAGCAAAAGCATATGATGATCTTGAAGAAATAGTACAAAAGTTGGGTGATGAGCATGGCGCCAGTCTAACGTGGGCAAAGCATCAAAGTGAAAAGCTCAAACAATCAAAACGGTATCTAAAGACGGATTACAAGGTGAGCATGAATTCGGTTGCGGTTATAAATCTGTATGTTCATTTTTCAGGTACACTTTACTGAAAGTTCAGCTGTCGCCGATCACTGTAGACCATTTGCTCTTAGCTTTCCTGGTGACAAAGATTACATCTCACCTTGTGACCACGAACATAAGGAAAGGTGCGACCGCTGCGATATACTTCCTCGTGTTGTCGATGAAATTCAGTCCGCTTTAGGAAAGATCGATGATGGTGCTGAAAAAGACGAGATGAAGTTCCAAGGTGAGCAGTCAATGCAAAAAATTAGCGTGTGGAAGGCCCATATCCTTCGTTCTTCAAACCAAGATCAAGCTCGATTGGATGTTCTAGAAAGTCTGAATCCAACATCTGCTCCACTTGTTCTTGATTGGGCAATGAAGTTTTTACTAAAAAAGTATCGTGAGTCCCAAAATGATTGGTTCGGGAAACGTGGCATTAGCTGGCACATCACCGTAACGATAAGAAGAAAAGATAGCACCATGCAAATGCTCAGTTTTGTCCATGTTTTCAAATAATACTCCCAAGTCAGTAACACTGTCATAGCAATAATCGATGACGTATTCCAGCAACTCAAGTCCACTTCACCAGAAGTACAAACATTGTTTCTCAGACAAGACAATGCTGGATCACTGTAGACCACTCGACCTCAGTTTTACTATCTGTCCAGCGAATAGCCACAAAGAACAACATCAATGTATGTCACGTTGATTACTCTGATCCACAAGGTGGAAAAGGCCCATGCGATCGCAAAGCAGCGACGATCAAAAGTCACATTAAGATATATTTGAATGAAGGCCATGATGTAGAGACTGCAGAGCAGATGGTGCAAGCTATCAAGTCAGCTGGTGGAGTACCGGGAGTAAGAGTTACTTCAAGTAGTAAGCAAACCGTTGAAATGCCTTTTGAAGCTTAGTGGGAGAGAATTAGTTTCCTTAATAATTTGACATTTAGTGGAGAGGGTGTTCGAGTTTGGAGAGCGTAAAACATTGGACCTAGCAAATGGTTACCTTAGAGTGACCTTGACATTCCTACTTATTACCAGCTGCCCACGCTTAACAAAGCCACACCCACACACTGCTCTAATGTATCATTCACTGACGTTACCGTAAGACGACGAGTTTCAGCTAAAAGCAAGTCAACCAGTGATCAGATAACTGACACACCAGAGGAAACAGATTCCGACTCAGAGGAACAGACCATGTTGTTTTGTACAGAAGAGGGCTGTATTAAGTCGTACCAAAGACTTTCATCCCGTCAGAACCACCTCGATTGCGGTAAACACCAATATGTTCTAGAGCGTGAAACCCTTTACAACAAGGCTATGTTAAAATATGCAGCTCAACTTGAAGAAGGTACATCGACTAATGTCCTTTATGTCTCTGATAAAGCTGGTAACCTTGAACGAGGTGAACCCTCATTAAAAATGGGATGGGCCTTAAAAGTTCCAAGCATTACAAGCGACTATCCAAAATACAGCATGATTACTTGCTTGACATTTCTAACGCTGGTAATCAAACTGGTCACAAGGTGGATCCTGTATCTGTGTCGAAATCCATGCGAAAGGCAAGACTGGCATGTGGCGAACCAATTTTTAAAGTAGACGAATACCTGACATCTCAGCAAGTAGCAAGCTTCTTTTCGCGGGAGACAGCAAAGAAAAAGGCACTCAAGATGTCGAAACTGAAACCCAGAAAGACCAACGGGCTGTGGAAAGAGAAAAGGTCCTGCAAAATCTTCAGGAGGACGTCATGGATTCCATATCCATCTGTCATCCAATCATGCACGACAATTACAACCTCTGTGATTATGCCTCCAACAAGAACTTGGACAAGCTCTCCATCCCTCTCCTTCAAGATATCTGTTCATCCCTTCAGCTTGAAATCTCCAATATTTGTCCTTTCCTGTCTTTTTCTCTGTAGACATGTGTCGTATATCGTTTACATTATTCAGGTACAAAAGGTCATCCAGAAGGAATTCTGAAATGAAAACCTCGATAAACTTATTCAAAAATTATTCGTTTCGAATAAATTTTACTCTGGTATCATGTGGCAACTGGTGTCACAGCGGATTTGGACCCCCCTTCGCAGATTTGGACCCCCCCACCAAACCTTCCTTTTAAGCATTCTTTTTATCATATTTGGTAACTAATTCTATTTGCAAGCTTTCTGTCGATGTTCTTTTCAATCACAACACAACATTCCTCAATAAAGGTAAAAGAAAAAACCAGCCATTTCGTTCCAATTCTACCGCATTTATTATAGCGAGTCGTACAGTATACGTAAGAATCAGATGTGAAAAAACTACTGCCTTCGAACTATTGAAATTGTTACGATAAATCTTTGCTTCCTCTGAAGCGAATCAACATTGATACGAAACATCATAACAATAGTGGAGACTATTGCGTCCAGCCACAAAAATAACTCAGTCTGATTTTCTAAAATAATAACATTAAACAGTTTCTGAACAAGAACGAAGAAACTACTCCTACTTTAAGTCGTTCGTAAAGCCTATGATAAGTAAAAATGTTTCTATTCTGAACTATTGGAACTCTCAGCTTATTTTCAGATGCAAATCAGCATTAATCAACATGTCAACGTCTTAACAAAAGTGGAGACTATTACATCGGACTCAATCTTATTTTCTAATTTTAACGATTATTAACTGTTGAGGGATCCGAAATAACTCCTTAACAATTACGAAGACGTCTAGAGTCTGGCGATCTGCAGACAATGCAGAGCCACTCGCCCTCTGGGGTAGTCTTAAATCATGTGGAACCATTCCTCGCACAACTCGCACCGTACCATGTCGTCCCAACACTCGGGCATTGAACAATGACAAAATAAATTAGTGTCACAAGTTTGTCTCCTATTGAATCTAGTGGTGTTCGACTATCGTGGAAAAGGTTCAAAAACGACCTCTCTCCAGACATCAAACTAAACTCTTGCCCATTTTCCCTTGGTCAAAAGAAACATCCGACGGGATGCCAGTTCGTATGCATTAACGATACGCATGTTTTGAATGAAAAACATACTTTAGTACGCACTGGAACGTAAAGTATCAACCATTTTTACCGGAACGTTAAGGACGATGTTTTCACTCAGTTTTGTTGGGGGGTCCAAATCCGCTAGCGTATTTGGACCGGGGGTCCATATCCGCTAGCGGATTTGGACCGGGGGGTCCAAATCCGCTAGGACACCAGAATGAACTCGTTCTTGAACAGAGCTCATCCCGATATCATGTAACATTTTATTCCCAGAGCATCACGCTTTGCTCTCCTGTCTGTATACTGTAAATTTCAATAGCGTTGAAGCAACAACCCGCTCTTAACTGCTTCGCTGCCACTGAAACAACGATTAGTGACCACAAAAAGCACACGTTCTAATATTTTCAATTCAACATAAACAAAAATTTTTATACAGGGTAAATATTCGTTTGTGTCGGTATCAATTATTGCGTGACAAGCTTATAATGTAAACGGGGGAGGGGAGAACACAACTCAAAACCTGGGCTTCTGTTGGAAAAAAGTAATACCCAGACATAATATAATAATCGAAACAGCTCATAAAATCATACATAAACAAGGTAAGAGTGTTATGTTAGATTTTTTTACAAATTGTAGTGATTGATGCCAGTAGACGGTGGCGACAAGTAGGCGCACCATGTATATTTCATGATCGCTAGCAAGTAAATTTCGCCTGACTTTAAGTTCGTCTCAAGATAGAGCAACACAAATACACAAAGAAATTTTTACAGTAACTTCATAACCATCCTTTTGTCTTTTAAAAGCTAGAAGCTCAGTAGATTCTGTCATATCGGTCATTGTTGAAACCGTCTTTGTTTTGATACTACTTTTCGACATAGGAAAAGTATGTCGGACAAAAATATTCACCAAAAAAATAAATATTTCTTTGCCAGCTTCAATAATGACAGGGGATTACGTTTAGATGATAAAACGAAGGATTATGTTGACAGAAATACCAGAGGTCGAGTGTATTCGTTACACGAGGTCACACAACCCGGGTAGTATTCACGGTGAAAATTTACGTATTTGAGCAGTCGAACGAAAAAAATTTCTCGAAAACTAAAAAATATTTTTACAAAAAAACTACACCACAATCATTAGGACATATTGGGCTACAAAATATGAAAGTAGGAGAGAAAACGAATATTGGTCGACTTGCCACTATTTTTCAAATTTGTTCGATGGATGCTGACATCCTCTCTTAAGTGCTCAGCCCTTAATTCGGTTCTAGAAAAGACATTTGAGTTATGGCTTGAAAATAAACGCCAACTCAGGCTATGGCAACGTTAACTATTCCGTAGTGGGACAATATCATTTTACAGTGTTGATACCTCCATAAAGTATTATTTAACCGAGTATCTCCTTCTTGACAGTTGCAAAGTTTTCAACGCGATGCAACGCAAATCTCTGGTGAAGTCTTGTACACAAGGATCCAAGTAGTATGAACCCCTTTTTGTGGGTCTTGTAAAGGCAAGAAATTTGTAAGTTTTTCGCGTGCAAAGGCAAAGCTAGCACCACTTTGAATAAAACAATTCTCCGCGAAATATTGCCTGGTCATTTTTTGTCTTGGTTTTTGTCACCAGTTAACAGACAAATTCGCATATCGACTCTGAAATGTGATCCAGGCAAACTTAATGTGAATCTATCATTTTCTGTTCAAAGGATTAGCTATGCAAATGTTATAAGTTCCTCAAAGCTTGAACCTACAATACAGGGAAAGGTAATTGTTCAGTTTTTTTTTCACAGCGAAGCCTTACTAATTGCGTTATCACGAAACAAAGAAGCACATATCATTTATGCGAATATATATCACGATAAGACAACAAATTACCTGTACTATCAGGGAACAGTAACAGCCAATCTAGGCAAGTTGTCCTATTCAGTAGATTCATTCCATGAACTTGACTCTGTTATTTATAGGGACTCCTTGACAATTGTTGACCGTAATGAGCGTTTATTAAAACCTTAGATCCGAATATTGTAATCCACTGGTAGACACAAACTCCCGTGTGAACGCCTGCAGGCGTTTCGCTGCTTGACAAAGACTAGCAGTATGTAGCTGAAACTTCGGCAAAAACGATTATAATTCACTAGAACTGGATTTTTCCCATGTCTAGAGAAACCATCTACTCCTTTGGCGTCCAAGGTTAATAAATCTCCGGCAGATTACATTTCGTGGTGCTCCATTTAGTGATTTACATCGTAAATCGTTGCAGCATTCAGGGTGCAAAAGTTGGTTCGAACTATTCATACACTCTCTGTGAAATATTCTCAACACAAAGTGCCTTAGTTTTAACCCAAGCTACTGAAAATAGACTAAACTACAGTTGTGCTCAAAATTGACCGAACATTTAGTTCATCTCAAACAGTTATTTAAGGTCCAGAGCCCCACAGCCAACCCTTGAAATATCCAGCTAGTCCGCCACTTTTCTTTTCCTCTACTCTGTGAGCTAATGACGGGAACTTGACTTGATTGAGAGCTAGGTCAAAGAACAGGGGCTTGCAAGGTATCGGATTAAAATCTGGTGGAAATGAAGTAACCTGCGGCTTCTTAGTCGTCAGCGAATAGTCAGAAAAATAGTATTCCAATCGCTTACTGAGTGGCTAAATGAAGAAAGCAGAAAGAGATTCATTAATAAGCCAGTTTTTGGTCTGACTGAGCTTATCAGCTCATTGACGCTATTCTAGAAACTGAGATGTCGACCTAGCAGGCTGAAAGTAAATTAATCAAAACTGGAATGTATTGAGAGCAGATAAATGATATTGTAAATTTACGCTTTGTTGTAGTGTAGCTCATTAATGGGTTATTTATTTCCTCATTTATAAAAACAATTCTGGGCCTTTGCTTTATTCGCTCACCTAAAAAGCTGATAGAAGTCAAGTGTTGCTGTTGCTCTCATTCATTTATTTTGAGACCCCTACCGATTCAATTAATAGACTAATCTTCCAAGTGTTTGCGTAGTTTCACAGGACATTTCATGCACCAGACAAGCCTATCCAGCGTATAAATATGCCATTCCCTAAAACGGTGATCCAACGGATGAAGGTTGTTGGAGAAAACAACATTGCGTATACATAGTGTAAAGCTATCTGATTGCTAAATCGTTCTTCAGCTAATTACCATGGTGACTCAATAGGCTTCTAGATTTCACTTGTGCATACTGATATTTTAAGATAGGACAACATCGTGGAACAAAGCTCATTTTTAACAGCTGCGTCGTAATACTTCAAGCCGTCAAGTAAAGCGTCGATGTTTCATAGATTATTTTGAAGATACAACTAAATCACTTTTTTCCGGCAAGCAAAAGTCAAGGTAGGTTTACGTAGATAACTTCTTCCGTTGGATAGTGGCTACACAGTGCTAGTGGAATGGGAAGAATTTATTCCACGTGAAGCAACTTTTCTGCTCTTGGCCAGTTAATGTGGCATTTACCTCACACTGTACACCCTTCGTCCCTAATCCATCAGCCAAAAGCAGAGGTAAAGCAACCGAATACGATCAATCATGTTAAAATTAGACATTCAATACAAATTTATACTTCAGTATTACCTTATCATTCAAAGTAATAACTGCGATTTCATCTGATACCTCTTCATTCTCTGTCAAAATAAGATGGATTTGTGATGAAATATATGTATTTTTCATTCATTCTGCATCATAGTTGAGAAACAGTTCTATAAACAAAAGATAATTCGTAAAATCTGCGTGATTAAAACGCTGTGCCTATAAAAGATAAGGATCGACCGAGAAAGGAAGGAGTTACGAAGTCATCAGCTCGGATAGTTGATAACACAAACACTGTATTTCGACGTTTTCGCAAGCTCACCTACTCAACAATGTCCTTCGATGCTCTGAACTAAATAATAGCATACCTAGAAGGCAAGATGCATAAGTAGAACATCTGAAGCCTTGGGCTTGTGACAAAAGTTCTTGAAGACTGCTTATCACCTAAAAAAAAGAAAAAAGAGATATAAAATGAAAATGGAAAAAATTTCCATGAGATACGTAGCACTTAGGTGCGTACTAGTAGAAAGGTGCTCCGTTTACATAAACAAAAAGGGTCATAATTCAAAGCTTTCCATATGTTTAGTGCGCAGTACATAAAATCTTTGCAGCATATGTAAAGAACTTAACTTTGCACTGAAGGGCCAAGCCCTAAATGTATAGAAACCCCAATCGAAAATATAACAGTAGTTGTCCACGCCGACTGAAAACTTCTTTACTAAGAAAAGAGACACATCATTACGCCATATTGACTTTCTGTGCCTTTCATTTTCTAAAGGAATAAAGATAAATAGAGAATACATGGGCGCGCATAGATGTGGACTTTCTCTTCGAGTATTCAACTCGATAGCTAATGCACGAGTGAGCGCAGCGAGCGAGTGAGATGTCGAGTCGAAGACTTCAAGAGAAAGTCCATATCTACAAGCAACTATGTATTATTTTGTTTATCATATAAACACAATTGCTCTCTGGTGACAAGAAAAGCAAAGTTCATCGATGAATGAAAATAAAAGAATCGACAAGGCTCAAAAGCAACAATGGGTGTAATTTTCAATTTACAAAATTCTCCTTCATTGACTTTGTCCTTACCGACAGAAGTCTTTACAGAAGCCTTTACAGAAGTCTAAACAGCCAAAATCGGTCAATGGCTAATCTTTCAGTTGTCGCTTTTCGTTCTCAGCCGCTAGAAACACTATTACCAAAGGCCACTGAATACCGAACTTTTGATTTTTCTTTTCATACATTGGTTTTCTTCCTCTTCTAGGAAAGTTTGAACGTCACTGTCTGTGAGCAATACGGATTTCTTAATGTTTTAGCCGCCATAATCCGAGAAAGTTCCGACAAACTACCTCGTATTGAGAATCGTAAAGGCTTTGCCGTTCATTCATCAACCTGACCGATGGCACGAAAGGCAAGTGAAGTGTTTCACGTGTTTCCATGAATTGTGAGTTTCTTGTACTCGCTCGAGAAAATGATGGAAAAGTAATTATTAACGAATCATTTTTGTGGTTTTCCCGTGCGGGCCAGTCTATCGCTTTCTATCAAAGTTAAAACAAAATTTTCGAAATTTCCAATACTTGGTAGTCATATAATGAAATGCTTATTGACTGATGTAGGTTAGGCCGGAAGGTAGAACATATGGCTCTTCTTCATGACGCACGGACCTTGCTGCATTCGGTCGATAAGTCATGAGCTTGAGCCAAATATTCTCCCGTTCAGCCCTCCCACTCAGTCCATAAGTACATATTATTACCATTCAACAAAGGGAATGAATATTCCTAGACAAAAACCAGAATCTAGTTTAAGGTTCATCCCCACCTGATCAAAATTTTTCTCATTTCAAGGACTCTTGAAGGCCCATGTTTACGGCATGAAAACTCAGCCAAAAACGTACAACCACTTAAGAAAAGTTACAGTTCTCAAACATATCAGGTAGCTTTTGTAATGTGAAAATAATACGGCAAACCATGTACCTCGATCTTCTGGTTTCGTTAGTTTTCTCGGACAAAGGATAGAGAAAATGGATTAAAAGACAAACTGAAAAACAAAATCAAAATAACCCAACACACAATGGAGAAAATAGAGACAGACCTGCACAAGTGAGTTAAATTCTTGGAAATGAGTGATGGCAGAGCTTGCAAGGTTCACAACATGGTTATACAGTGACATTGCTTCACGCCACTTCTTGCCAAGAAAGTACGAATGGGCTACATATAAACACCTGAAAAGAAGAAAAACAGTAGAAAGTGCTCAAGAAAGATGTAAAGCTGATTCCCTTCGCCCCCTCTTACTGTTAGTGCTTCTTCACTTTATATACAGCCTGTATGTTATTCACTTCATTGCAAAAAATTGACACTCAGAAGGATGAACTAGGACATGAATGGTCATGAATGTGACAAAGCTTTACTTTATTCCGAATCCTTTTTCTTTTTTCTGTAACAAAGTATTTACCGCTTAAAACCGATCAGAACAAAAAGGCATTCGTTTTCTTTTTTTTCTATAATTCCGTATCAAACTGACTCTGATATGCATATAGAAATAACCTGAAAATTGCTCAGTGGCAAATAACAAGTAACTGACACGTACCCTTTATACTGTTTTGGGATTATGTAATAGTTTGATAATTTTCAGTAAAAACGAATGAATTTTTTAAAAGGAGTGCCATAAAGTTTCCCAGAATAAAAAGTTTGATTTCGATTTCAACAGACTTATTGTCCAATTTTCATGTTTAAAATTGATAATTTCAGTCTTGTCTTTTTGTGCCTTTCATATATACACTATGAATGGCTACTCCATGGTGTTAGGCAGTGACACTGTAAGTAAACGAGAACCTTAACTGACTGTGTAATAAAACATAATGCGAAAATTATTAGTACTGAAACAAATAACCAGAATATTCCTCCCCTCCAAGCCAAATTAGGATCAAGCAACAATTCCACTAATTTCACTGTTAAAAGGTCAGGGAGTAAAAAACTACATGACCCTATAAGCTGCTAAGCTTTTATTCCCATCTTGTTTAAACATAGGTTTCACTAACTTAAAATCATACAACAAACCATAAACATTCAGTTACCCATCCAAAACCAGCTCATCTAAGTACTGTATTAGTTAGATGTAATTATACCTGTGGGCCTTACACTCCAATATTTGAGCTGCAACCTCCTTGGAAAACAATAAGTCTTGATCGATTTCTTGTAACTCAGCCATATCAGAAAGGTTCTAAAGGGAACAAGAAGTGTGAATTGCTGACTTTGACTCGCCCTAACAGTAAACACTAGAGGTAAGGATGTAATGTATATTTAGTACATCCATTTTGAAATTATTGGTACCCCTAACTATTTAACTGTCTCTCAGCAGTGCCAGTTATTTCAGAATCATTCAATTTTTTAATTCTAAATTGCACCTTTTTCCCAATCAATGACCACCAGCACTCCACTCAGTTCAATTAGCATTATACAACAAGACTAAAGGCCCAGCCCCATTAAGTTAATCATTTCTGCCCTCTACTTTCTTGAGTTTGTTAAAGAGATTATCCACAAAAATTTAAGGAACAGTCATTATTTAGGTGGAGGGGAGGTGATGGGAAATAGGGAGACAAGGATAAGGAAATAAGGAGGTTGCCATCTTTTTTAGGTTCAGTGGAGGACAGCAAGAGTGAACATGAGGGTGATAATAGGTAGATTTGGAAAGTAATAATTAAGTTAATAGTGGAAGTAGTGATGGCCAAGTGAATAATGTCATTAATGAGCAAGCAATTGTGCAAACATCTAGAAATAGGAGAAAGATGGAACACTGATGCATGATATAAGCCAATTTCAATTTCGTAACCTGTAAGACTATGGCATTCATGTTCTCGCATTGTGTGTTATGCAGATGCCAGTTTTAACTCCATGTACCAAAAAATAGGAAAAATACACTATTTACCTCTACAGATTAAAGTGATAAGGAGGGTAAAATTTAATCAAGAACTAAAAGAGGGGGCACTTGTCATTTTCAGGCCTATTTAAAGGAATACTTGCATTTCCAGACAACCATTTACTTGCATCAAAATTCCATTTGTGGAATATGTATTAATGTTTACATGAAAACCAACAATTCAGAGCTTAAGCCTGAACATTACAAATGGCCTTGAGGTTGACATGACATCATTACAATGTGATAACTAAAGTAGATATAAATACAATTCTGAGCAATGTCAGTCAGCCTACAATGTATTATGCCAATACATTTTGTGATTTAAGGCAATGCATGATGTTTGTAAGGTTCTTGTAACCCCATGCACTATACCTAACACAGATCAACTTTGAGTAATAGCCAATAAATAGTTATAACCATACCTGCAATATAATGTCATATATTCGCACAAGGTCCTCTGGCTTGGAAAGGCGTTTGACAGTATTTACTGTTATTTCCTCAGCAGCATTCTGTAGAACTGCTGGTAAACTGCCTTTCATTGACTCTGCCATAAGCAAGTTTCTTTCTACTGTTTTACTCAAACGGATAAAAGTGACGTAATTGTGAAGAAACTGCATATTTCCTGTTTGTGCTTCAAACTTTTGAGACCGCATCTTGCCAGAACCCTGTCAAATTGAAGGCACATTTGATCATGATGACCTGGTTTTTGTTACTGAATGTATATACTTAATGCAAGTGACTAGTCCCAAAAGATTGATCAATACTGTAACATATAAATGCAAAAGAAGAAAACAGCTGTAACTCACTGTGTCTCCCTTTAACTCGTCTTTGATTGCTTGCAAGGCATCCTTGCACTCCATGAGTAAACTGTCATACAATGTAAGCTTGCTGTCTAAAGTACTAGCTCTCTCTAATTCTCTTGCACATTGTTGGGAGTGGAGTATGAATGAGCGAACTTTTTCATTCTTTACTGGGACATTACGGCCACTCCAGCTCACTTCTGTCATAGCAGCTGCTTCTCTCTCGCGTGTTTGAGCAATAACTTCCTGTAGGTATAAAATCATGTATGTTATGTTCAGCAAAGAGGAATAGAAATTGAAGCAAGGACTCAAGCAGTAGACACTTAAGTCACTAGCAACAGTCTATTTTTCAGCTATTTTCTCTTAAAAAAAAACAACAAAACAAAAACACTACATTGCAGGCACTACCTACCAAATAACTATTCCTAGGTAAGTGCTTATGACAAAGAAAAAGTTAATGAATTGTCAAGAAAAATAAAATAATTTTGGAGCAAAACTTTTCAAACTGATTGACTGAGTGCCAAATTCTTTCTACCACAGCTATGATCAAATGCCATTTCTGACTGTGCACTTTCATTGTGTGTTTAATGACCAAGCACCCACTGTCAAGTAAACCACCATAAATGAATTCAGAGGAGTTGAACCTATGCCCTCTGATAAATTCCACACCACTGAATACTCTGCCAACCAAGAGGCCTAAACCCCAATTCTGCATTTTGCAATGCCTGACTTTCAGTAAAATTTACTTGGAGAATCCAAGTGGGTTGCTTTGCATGACCATATAGAAATGATAATAGTAATATGGGAAATAAACCATTTATGATATTTTCCCTTTGTGATTTGTTGTAAAAACAAGGCCTGTTTTTGAATACTTCATATTTCAATCTCTTCAAACAACACCAAATAAATGTCCTTCATGAGGAAACTATGAGACCTTTTGGATTAGGATTGGGCATTGCATCAGTCTACATGCAGATTCCATGCACAACTTGAGACAGCTACAGCTACAGCAGCTACTCAAAACTATTACCAACAAAAAAGTTGGAATGAAGAGGAAAGTCAGACATAAAAACAAAGACCCTGGTGTACTTGGTGCTGCTACTTGTTGAGGCCTTGAGCAGTAATATGAACTCCAAAATGAAAGTTGGAAGGTAATAGCCACGAACATATCTGGCTTAAAAATGACCTGACAAAAGGTTAATTCATGAGACTGCTGTGGGAATTATGAAGGAGATGTAACCTAATTCTTCAAAATTGTCTTAACAACCTTTTGCATACAACTTACATCAATTTTGGCTGCTAAAACTGGATCTTGTGTTGTGCTTCCAGAAGAAGCACTCCACCTCAACTGCATTAAATCGCTAATGTCTGTGGTTCCCTCATTAAGATTATATGCACAGTATCTGATGTTTGGAGTGATCTCTTCAACTCTCTGAAGATACATGGTGCGCTGTTCCTCAGAGAAAGCCCCAGCTAGATTTTCATAGATAGTCCTATTCAATGTAAAATGGGCAAAAATGTTTAAAATAAAACAGTAATTTATCTGTCGAATAGCATTATCTACCCTTTGAAAAACTGGGGCCAGGTCAATAACAAATCCTTTCCGAGCTGGCTGGTGTTTTTAGCCAATGTACTTATAAAATGCAGTGTCCACAGTCATTGCAGGTTCTCGCGTGCAGAGTATATCCCTATAATTCAAACATATTAATCAAAGAACAAGAATTGTGTAAATACTACCTTGTTGTTCCCCTCACCATAAATAATTACAAAAATGTTTAAATTACTTAAACTTTTCAAATCATCTTTGGCAGCTATTACTGCTTTGATACAAAAGGTTTGAATTAGTGGTTTGACATATGTTAAACCCATTTAAGAACCTAGCAAGTGTGTGGAAATTCAAAGAAAACTGCAATAAAAGCTCTTCTCAAAAACACTGCAAATGCAAGCAGAGGCTCAAGAATTTCTTGTGCTGCAAGAACATGTAAGCGGTCTTTTTTGGACTTGCTATTGTACCACAAAGAACTAGAACAGCAAAGAAGTTCTTTAAAAATTCAACCCCAAAGAAGATGTTGAGGCTCCCATAACCTAGCTCACAAATGACCTGCAATTAGTTGCAAGGAGAAGTTCTGCTTGTGAACCTAAAAAAAAGTTCCCAAATGTGCGTTCTTTATTTCCACAAGTATATTGGCTTCAAACACTAGCCATTGATTACATTCAAAAATTAAGTTTTGCCCCATTTGTTCCCTTGCAAAAATCCCATCATGGTTCTTTTTCATCAATCCAAAACAATATATACCCATGTGAATTTATTGTGCAAAGTGGAGTTTTGGTACTGGGTCCCAACAAACATCACCAACTAAGTAAGAAAGTAATCTGAAGCTCTTCCAATACAAAACAACATCATACATCTTCATGAACTACTTTGGAATTCTAACATGTTAATACCCTTGGAGTAACAGGGTTATGCCAAGACAATCATATCAGCATTACCTATATAAATTCAAAATAAAATAACAGGGTTGTCAAAAGAAGGCACCAACCAGGGAATTTCACTCTCTACTCTGAAAAATGTACCAATTTTTCTGAAAACTTGTGGCTCAGTTTCAGCATGTAAACTTAACATTGGACGGTTAAGAATATATGAAAGTCATATATTTGAACTGCGGATAAAGACATGAATGAAAGTGATCCTCGCAGTGATGTGCACTACTTAGGCAGTAGTGAAAATAAGGCCTGAAAAAAATTCAGGCCTGTACGTACAGGCCTGAATTTTTTTCAGGCCTTATTTTCACTACTGCCTAAGTAGTGCACATCACTGCGAGGATCACTTTCATTCAAAACTTAACATTGATGGAAATAAAATGGTCTAGTGTCTCACATTATGCATCACAGTCTGGTTACTCAAAGTCATTTTGAAAACCCTGGGTTAAACTTACTGGGCATGGCCAAATAACTCAAAAGCCTCCTTCCAATTCTGCAGCTCAAAACTGACACTGCCTTTCATGTAAGAAGCATAGGCCTGTTCACAAAGAAGAGTAAATTTGCTATGAGAAAAAGCTGCAAGAACAGTACATACAACAGCAGGACTGCACTTGTAGACTATAGCAAAACAGCACATACAAATAAAAGGGAGATGTATTCTGTCAAAGTTAAAATTGGTGACAACAGGAATACTGTTGAAAGAAAGTAAGACCAAAATGGTTGCAAAGTCCAACTCCATGAAGGATTTTATAGCGTGGGAAGGGCTATTCCACTAGTAGCCCATTGTGTACCCACATAAGAGGTGCTGATTTGATAGAGGTATCCACAATGAAGTCACTGAAGACTCACTGACTTTTTTTAAGTCTCCAGTTACTAAAATAAGTACATACTGCAACAAATTGTGAAAATAAAAAGTTTCAAGGCACATTCTTGCAGAAGATCAAACAACAAAGGGTTAGTTCCATTCTGAATAATGTATTTTGATAGTTTTCCAGTGCAAGCCAGTGTAACCATTGTAAATTAATAAAATATTTTTTGTTGGTATAATGCCATTTGCTAAACAACACACCTAAATCTCCCTTTGCTCTTGTTGCAGTTTGCTGCACTTGAAACTACTGGAAGATGTTAAGCAGCATGGACCTGATACATTTGTTTCTTTTTGTTTAAACTTCTGTAAGGCACCATCACTAAATTGAATTTTAGAACATTTAAATGTGATTGTGTTGCACCTTTCTTTTGGAAGTCAATCAGGAAAGTGACCATAATTTATTTTGGGTTCTTATTAGCGCCTCATGGAAGTTTCCTTAGTTCTTAAAGGCTCCAAGATTTCTTTGTTTTTGATCTTGACCCTTCCGACAATAATTTTGGAAATACACCCATTTTTAAGTTAAGGATGTTTATTTGTAAGTTTTGCTCAGAATATTAAGTGATGTAGCAAGTGTCACTTTGAAAGTCAGAAGTCTTATTTCGTAATAACTTTTGTGAAAAACTTAGTGTTATTAATGCTGAAAGACTTATGAGGGTATTAAAAATTTTCAATAACTAAAAGCATTGTACCTGGGCCTCAAGTTTTGTTCTGGCATCACAGACATCACCAGAACAGAGCTCTTCTAACTGAGTAGCATGGCTTGCAGCCTTACGAAGTCTTCTAATGTAATGGAACTTTTTGCGCAGTTCAGTGTTAGCCAATAGCTTCAACTCCATTGCATGACTCCAAGCTCTTTCTGCATCCATTAAAGGAATGTGTAAATACCTTGAGAGAAGGAAAAAAAAAGGAAAATGGTAGTCCCATGTTTTTTCTATGAAATCCCCTTCCCCACACCCCACTCCAACTTAGGGTTTAGGCAGACAAAGGCTCAATTCTCTACCATCAATAATTTCCTCTGTTACTTTGATTTACAGCTTTAAATTTTGTCACTGTCAGAGGAAGTGGATTCAGCAAGAAAATTACTCACTCTGAAAATGTACAATATGTATTTGGTTTTAGAGATTCGGTGTTTGGTTTTAAAATCCTAAAGAGCCTACCACTGTAATAAACAACAGAATTCCTTTTTCTTATTCAGCCAGTCATTAAATAGCCACCTGTACACTGAACTTGCATTGTGTTCAATGACCAAAGTTCAAAGAAAACTTTTAAGAAATACAACAGAAAGAGAATATCCCTTTTTCAGAGGGACATAAGAAGGCCACTGGGTATTAGTAGAGAAAAATGTTCAAACACTTAGCCAGTCAAAGCAATAACAAACACAGGCTTTCATCATAAGAATATGAACTTGTAAAACCAAAGCCCTAAGGATAATTGATAATACATAACATTGAATACCATTAGTTTGTCTATGATATTTCAATAGAAGCTTTAATTATTGGTAGCACAATTGCAGTATTATTAGCAAAATCTTAACTCTGAAGGGAACATCTGAATGAAATGTGAGATTTACTTGACATCTTTCAGCAGTTCCTGTGTTAATTTCTTTGCCTTGAATGTGTTTCGTGAACCATGCTGGAAATTCAAAGTCTTGTATAATCTTCTCAACCTCCGCTGACAGTATTGCCTGATAAGGATTGAGGATCACCAATGATAAGCTAATTATAATTACATTGCTCAGAGTTATGTATTTTTATCAGAATTACTGTTAAAACTGGCATATAACCTGGACTTGCAGAAAAGTTTCACCTCAAGTTTGGTAATTTAAATTTGGAAAATAAATCACAAGTACAGTCTTGGGAAGTTGCTTTATTCTGATTGCCCTATTACCCACTACATCACAAACATTGAAACAGAGAATACTTTGAATTCTCCCCAATAGTTTTAGCTATAATTGTATGGATGTCAAATCTACTGAATTACATGTTTATGTTTGCAAAAGCAATGACCAATTTCTATTTTTGAATATTTTTATGAAGTTCTCATTAGTCTGCTATACATACCTATAAATTCATGATGAATTGTTATAATTCATGCAAATTTGCAGTATGTTCTCCCCTAGTATGTCATTTAAATTTTGGGTAAAAATGGCTTATGTGCTGGTGTTCCTGGTATGTTCTTTCCAGTAATAGTAGTAACACAACACTTGAAATTAGCAGTTTTCCCCTTTCCCTGAGATGACCAGAATGTTTTCAGGCAAACAATTCTTGGAAAAATCAAGACATTGCTTGTTTAAGTAAAAGAGTGGGTGAGCCCAAATTTGAACCTTCAATTCTTTTAATGGCTTTTTTCTCTAACTCCACCAATACAATTTTAAACATCAAAACTGACTTTCTTATTTAGACTCCTGGGCCCAGTTGCTCAAAGGCCAAATAGCGCTATCCCAAGGTTAAAATTTAATCTGGGTTTCTTCACTCCTTCATTCAAAGGCCTTTTTGGGTGAATTTTCTCTATTCTTTTTCAGACATTCAATGATCAAATTAAGGACAAAAAGAATTAAATTATATATTATTTTAAGCTTTCATTTCACACTAACCCTGGGTTATCTTAACCCAGCCTTGACCAGCCTTGGTATTCTAACACATACTACTGTACTACAGGTACATGTATCTTTGTTAAAGAAAAGAAAAGTAAAAATCCAATTTCAAAGATTCCAGTGAACCAAACAAACAACAGCATATTACCTATATCTCTGATAATCCCCATGACGTAACCCATGTTGTCCTTGAGCATCTCTGATAATTGGAAGAACTTGTTTTAAGATATAAGTTAAAGAAATATTTTATTTATTCACTAGAGATAGAATCTGTTTTGCTTGACTGTAAATGTCCTCCTAAAAGACTAGCATCATCAAAATAACCAGCCAAAACTGGGGAATATCTCTTAAGTATATGCTTAAACAGTGGATAGGGTCAGAGGTGACTATGAATATCCTTTTCTATTCACCTCCAAGGTACTCGCTTGGAATTTGCACCTGAAAATATTGTAATCATTACAGGAATAAATGAGTTAAACCATCTTTTTGTGATATATTATCTCACTGTTTAAGCATGATACTACAACAACTATTGACCTCAGTGTCGCTGGTTAGCAGTGGATATTTACCTTGCCACTTTGCCCCTTCATAAATATCCACCACCTCTTCAGTGAATGGGCCTTTCTATAATCCATCACATGACCAAATACACCCCTGTTAGAACCAGGGAATATTCACCGATATACCCCAAATGATATTACTATACCCGCAATCAGTGTTCGCTAGGTTACTTCTCAGCACATAAGTGAAGAGCGAACACTTCATACATTTTGAGTCAAACCCTTGAAACCAGAATGAAAATTCCATTAGTTACTACAAGTAAAGCTTTGCAAACAACTCCACAGCCTGGAGAATAGAATTTACAGGGTTGATTTATCCAAACAATGAGGTTTTTCATAAAATTCAAAGCTAATTTAAGTAACTTTCAGAATTTAAAACCAAAAGCTGGAACGTTTTAATTTCTGATCGTGCAATAACGTAGTTGGCAACTAAAGCATTCAAAATTTTAAAACCATGTGGCATAAATTTCACTAATTCAAGACCTTTTGCAGCTTTTTTGCTTTTATGTAAAAATTAGACACTTCTTTTCATAAAGCTTTTTTATGAAGATACTTCTTATTGAGGAAACCGCAATGTCTCTTACGATTAAGATTCTTTAACGAAGGCTCACATGCTGGTTCGTTCATTTGGTTTTGAACACTATTTCAGAAAAAAAATATAATTACAAGGATACTTTCTAAACACAGGATAGCTTGTTGTGGATCAACTTCGTCTGACGTTTCGCCCATAACCTCGTCAGTTTCTTTGTCTACATGAAATGCTTCACTCACTGCTTTAGTCGCCGCCATGTTGAAATAGAATGAAGTGATAGACTGACGTGGCTAGTCTCCAACCTACCTGCTAGAGGTACAACCGAGTACTACTAGGGATGAGTTTGTAAACCACTTGCTCGTGCTTCTGACAGTATTTCTCACAAACATTTGGATTCGGCGCAGGGCGTTGCACGTTCAGTTCAGAAAAAGCATCCTGATCTCTTTTCCTACACAGGGCGTGAAATTGAAATTGCGCCTGATTTAGGCGCCAATGCGACTAAATTTTTCACTTTGGCGACCAAATCCTGAAAAGTAGTCGCCAAATTGACGACTAGAATGCTTCATCATGACCATACCTATAGATGTATTGAATTAAAAAGATTTGCAAAGAAAAATCCGCGGCAAACTTCCTCGTTAAGTTTGTTTAATTTCCAAAACGCAGCACATGCATCTCGACCTATAATTAGACGCCATCTTGGATTTAGGTGAGCTTGAATGTCGCATATCACCCATACTAGTGTCCACTTCGTAGAACTTAATTTTGGAGGGTCTATCTAGAACGCAGACAAAAAGTGAAAAAAAGGTTTTGTTTGTCTTTAAAAATGGCGACCACCTTTTTTGCATTGGCCACCATTTTGAAAAATTAGGAGCCAAGTGGCTATCAGAGAAAAAATAATTTCACGCCCTGAATAAGGTAAGGGTGCCGACCAGAATGGGCCAAGGCAAAATCAGCCAAATAATAATTGAAATCAAGAAACGTAGCCTGAAAATGTGAAATTTTTAAGTTCCTCGGATAGGTGGAAAAAGGAGGAGGGAACAATACATCTTTTAAAATATACGTATTTCTTGTGTTCTTCATCTTTTACATGCGGAATTATTTCAACCTCCTTTAGTTTGACGTTTCGGGTTTTTTTTTTTCGCCTACTTTCACCTACTGGGGTTTGGTTCCTACATTAAAGCTAAGGCTTGTGTTCCATTATTGCAAGCAAAAACATTTGAGGAACTTAAGAATACAGACCGCCGTACCATGAAAATGGACAATTGTTCTGCAACATTTTCAAGGGACCACAGTGATGCTAATAAGTCCTAACATGCCCGCAAGCCTATCACAGGCATGTCAATTTAATATATCAGCCTGGAAACCTCTCATGGGTTTTAGTTTTACTTCATCAGGAGTAAACTATAAAATAATGGCTCATTTAAGCTCTTCTTCGCATCATGAAAGACTGAAAACTATGTGACTGAGCATTTTCCTTTTTTTTAAGTCACTCAAGGTCGATCACCCTTCTCACGGTTTCAAAACAATTTATACCCATGTGAATAAACTATGCAAAGTGGAGTTTTAGTACTGGGTCGCAACAAACTGATCACTAATAAAGTAAGAAAGCAACCTGAAACTCTTCCAAAACAAAACAACATCAGACATCTCCATCAGCTATTTTGGAATTCTACCATGTTAATACCCTTGGAGTAACAGGGTTATGCCAAAATAATCATATCAGCATTACATAAATAAATTCAAAATAGAACCACTGGGTTATCAAAATATGGCGCCAACAGGGCATTTCACTCTCTACTCTGAAAAATGCACTAACTTTTTTGAAAACTTGTGGCTCAGCTTCAGCATGTAAACATGATATTGATGTACGTAAATGTAAACATGACATTGATGAACTTAAAACTATGTGACTGAGCATTCTTTTAAGTCACTCAAGGTCGATCACCCCTCTCATGATTTCAGCTTCTAATAATTTGGGTAGCGAGCTTCTGAGAACGACTTTCTAAATTTATTTCGAAGAATGTTATTAGAAATTTCTAGGTATGTTGCTCTTCTTCTCAGTGCTGTTAAAGATTTCTGAAGCTCTCCTAACACTTTACTTTGTTCAAGTAGCGCAACGTTCTCCTTGTTATTTTTTTCAGACAACTTCTCATTCTCTGCCTCATAATGCCTTTTGTCAAATGACAGTCCACTTAATTGCTTTCCCTTTTCATTCAGTTTAGTTTCAGCGGCCCAAAGATCATATAAAACTTTTTTGCTTCCTTTCACCAGTTTATGGACCTTTTCTTCCATTCCCTGATACTCTTGTTCCAGGTGCGTGGCGACTCTGTCTTGTGCATTGCCTCTAAGTTCTCTTGTTCGAAGTGCTTCCCCAAGTCTGATTTCGAGTAATTGTTTATCCTTCTCTACTTGGCAAAGTGATTTTTCAAGTTCTCTGATTTCACTTCTTACTTTTTCAGAGAAACATGCTTTCTCAGCTCCACTTCTCTCCTTTAATCCATGATTCAATATAAAATTAATTATATTTGCTGACGTTCGTTCCAATGAGTCTGGGAAACGAATGGACAAGTCTTTCCTATTGAGAAAAAAAAACAGAAATGGCAATAGCCATATGGTTTAGCGTGAAAAGTAATGAGGTGCAGGATGGAAAAAATGCGAGAAAAGAAGTCTATTTTCAGTGGCTATTTTGTCACAGACTTAAATAAAGGAGATATGTAGCAGACGAGAATAGTGTGGTTCAAGTATTGAGGGCGAGGAGAATACAAATAAAAAGGATGAAATTTAAGTTAACCATTTGGGAACCCAGGCTCCATACAAAAGGGCCAGTGAAGTACGTACCAATGGCAAAGAGGTACACTGTATACTCCAAAGCTAGGATTTTTCTTAGACTGGAACTTCATCAGTCAAGTTTACTAGAGGCTAATTTGCTGTAATCTAGTTTGCTTACAAGAAGTTTTTGACTGCCATTAAAACCAATCTTTTAGTTACAATAACAAATTCTTCAAGAGATGCTGTTAGTTCTAGTATTAAATTCGTATGCTTGCGCGTCTTAGTTACATGTATCTTCTATCAATTTGGATGTATATTGATATTGGCGGCATATCAAGGAAAATTTGGTATACCTGTGAGCTGGGAAGAAAAGGAAAGAGGGGTAGTGATTTACATGGAATTTCCATGGTAGATCATTTTGGTCTGCATTAATCCTGAAAGACAGACATCGAAACAACTTCTATGAGTACACAACACACTTATGAATTTCTTAAGTTGAACTCAGTTTTTTTTAAAACAAAGACTAAAAACGTGTAAGGAAATGACATGGTATCAGATAAAAAGAGAAATAAATATAATAACGGTAAGTGCAATACACAATGTACACCTATTTACAATAATCAAGTATCGATGTAGTATAAAAAAATTATAACATTTAGTATCTTTACCTTTAAATAATTTTAAAATTGAAGTGTGTTACATAGAAAAGATAACACTTTTAATTCCTTTATTCTAACCTATTTGCATTATAATCAATTTGAACCTTTCCGCACAAAACATGCAAGGATTAAAAAACTTCCCCTCTCGCCTAATTAGTGGTTTTGTTCATACACATGGAATATTTCAATGGCTTCCAAACCTGAGCTTATCTTATAATTGGACGTTCTCACATCTAGTACTTATTTTAAAATAAATCAGAGATAAACCTTAGAAAACAATTACACACAAGTAATCTGAAACGAACTGAGCCTGAAACTGGGGGGTGAAAATCCTTGTTCATCATTCTCGGCAAGTGATTGGACTTCCATTATCTTTAAAATTTTCCAAGTCCCAGACCCTCGCACAACTAGTTTCAGACTTCGCTAACGAAATTGTTTCCAACATGGCCACCACAAAACAAACCAAACTCATAGAGAGGCTCATATAAAATCACTTAATAGATGGGAGACCTTTATGTGATTGTGGCACAAAACTATACCTTGCAATGGTAACACCTGTTAGCTTCTTGAAAAATCTTGCCACAGTCAGTAAAACTGGCCCCAGTGCTTGACAATAACCACACCATGGAGAATAGTATAATAAAAAAACGTCCTGCCACATACGTTTGAAAGAAGGATGATTCAGAAACTATACAATTTTCAACATCATCATTGTGAGAAGAGTAAATGTGAAATTATGACACCTGTTGCAATTTGAGATTAAAAAAAAAAAATATATATATAAATAAATGAATAAACCGGTCCAAAAAGTGGCATTTTCATTCACCATGGGTCATCCACAAGTCAAATGAAATTTATTTCAGTGAAAATTTTGGTTTGGTTCACTCATGAAGAAAGGGGTCATTAAAACTTCTTTTGACTAAGTGTATCATGAGTAGAGGAACAAAGGAACATTGGAGGGGATACAACTCTTTAGAAGTCCATAAAAAGTTAAATATTTCTGTTAACAGCATTCAGTTGTGTACAATCAGTAATTCTTAAAAGGCGATGGATCTTCACCTTCATGTCATTAAAAATAGCTTTGTCACATCTTGACAAATCTTTCATTCAACTTAGATGAACATTACTTTTCCTTATACTCAACCAACCTTGGTTTCATCCAACACCACTTCATCAAAATTTGATGCCACAACCTCAACTACGCAGGCTTGTGATTGTGGACAGCTACGAGAGGTAACACTAGCAGATCTTAAATGTCTTGTTAGATTTCCCGCCATATAGGCCATGATAAACTCAACTGCAAAGAGAAGTATTTGTGTGATTTTCTAAATGGTTCACATTAGTCATTTGCAAAGTGCAGTGAGGGAAACACAGAGCTCAATAATGGGTTTTACTGTCGAAGGTTGTTTCCCTTCAGTTTAATTGAATTGTAAACCTCTTCTTTCACCTTAATTAGTTTACGGTAGTTGTCTCTCATTGTCACTGAAAAGCCCTACCAGGGTAGTGTCAATAAACTATTGTATTATATTGTATTTTAAGGTTATACTAACTGCTTTTTTCCCCTGGCAAACAATGGGCAACTGAAACAAATACACAAATATTGAAACAAACTACACCTGACTGAGGTAAACCTAGTTCATCCTCACTTGAAATGCAGAAATAAATCTCAAACATTTACAGGTGACACTAAAATCTTTAATTCCTCTGAGCCTTCCCGGAATCAAGCAGTTAAGAGTCAATGTGCTAACACAATCATCAAGAGGCAGCCGATCCAGCCACTGTTAGGGCTTCTTGCTGGTAATACAGGCACAGCTGCAACCTTCTTGTGCAATACTAGAATCAGTTACATTTCCCACAGAAAAGTTAAACAATATGGGCAATAGACAAACAGTCCTCTAACGATATTTCAGAATGTAGAATTTGCTACAGATATAAAAATAATTTTGCAGTGTAAAAAGCTATTGAAACGAAATGTATTTACCAATTGAGGAATTCGTGATTTCCAAGTTCTTATCCAGGACAAACTGAACGTTGCTCTAAAAGAGGTAACAAGTTTAAACACAATTGTGGTTAATGCAAAAAAAATTTGGACAATAAAACACACCAGAGCAGAGCCAAAGGCTACCTTTAATTGCTTCAGAATTTAGGAATCTAACAGTCAAAGTCCTTTGATAATTGGACCGATTAGGTGGTAAAAAGGATCAAATAACCAGAAGTAGACAATGTACTCTTAAGCTGTAACTGAATGCTGCAAACTGCTAGTTTGTGCAAAGTTATCAGTTTCTAAAAGAACTATTGAGCTGCTTAAGCAGACAGTTAAAGAACTAAACTGATTATCAATCAGAAATTGATAACAGCTTACTAGATAACCATACCAATTTTTTTCAAAAGCTTTAGTTTCATGCATCAGCCCTTTGCCCAAGAAAAGTGTTCTAGAGAAGGGCTATCCTTTTAAACATTAACCACCAAAAATCTATCACAGGAGTTTATTGTCGTATATTCATTGTTATCCACTTCTGGCTGATAATCAGAAAATTGGCTGAATTAACAATTCAAGAGTATCATAAAAATGAAGATTTGCTTCAGCACATCATGATAGGGGTGCTCACTGTCTGGAGTTGGAGGAAACAAGGAACAAAGCCACCATTTAAGAATTTGTATTACCTTGAAATCAGCGATGACTAAAGCAATCTTTTCCTCAGAAGTCCAGCTAACACCAAGTCTTTCAGCAACTGTCCAGTGCTCAATGGAATCCACAAGAAAAAAATTTACTGATCGGTTGCTAGTGCATCCTGCCCCAGCGAACTTGCTTATTAGGTCTGTTGGTCCACAGTTGTCATGAAAGGAATCACAGCTCCTTTCCATAAATGAAGACAGTGGGAAGACATTTCTTCCCATTTCCTCATGAATATCAGTTAATGAGCTATCCTGTTTAATCAACTGATGATAAACACCTTTTGTAGAAGATCTTTTCGATTTTGGGGTAACAGAATTCACTAACTCCTCAACAATACCACTCACACTATTATCTATTTGTGTTTGTAACGTTTGCTGTGGAAACTCGCTTTGTCTAAGGTATGACACATCTTCAGTAGTTTCTCCCATCTTGGGAGTGCAGCAGATGCTTGTAACAAAATGTACAAAGTAGTGGTGCCTAAAAGAGGTGCAGCCATAACCAAAAGAGGGTAATGATGACAGAGTATGATCTTTAACAGAAAATGGTGGTCTGAAGATGCTCCTTTCTAAACAAAGGCCATGCTCAAGACATGTATGGCATAAATTACAGATACTAAAGCTCTTGCTTTGTATGGGGTGACCCGGTTTTTTAACTTTAAGTGACTGGCAATTCCAATATAGCCGCTGATGTGGTGTTCTGACAACATTGAATTTTCCTTGGCCTATACTGTTAGCAGTGAATGGCCCTCTATGGTGTGCATTTCTTGCAGTTAGTTGGTCCACATTTAACTGTATTGATTCTTCTGCAGTGCTGTATATTCTAATGGCTTCTTCAGAATGTTCAGAAGAGCTATTTGAGTTACATGCAACAAAGTCACATGAGCCATTATAATACTGACTTGCTGCATGACTATACTGTAATTAAAAAAAATACAATCACCAAAACCATAAGCACAAACAAAATTTCCCTTCTAGCACACAAATTTTATAAAAGGCAAAAAGAATGGTGTTGGTGGGTCCCATTTTGGTACCCATGGCTACACCATTTTAAAATTAGTTCATAGTACATGTCCCAATAGTGTAGCTCCATCTTTTGATATATAACCATACACAACCCACAGTACCTCTATTAGCTCTGACAATGGGCTAACACTCAAAACCTCTGCTTAAAATACCCCTACCCCCATGATGGCAAAGTCACATTAGCAACTCAGTTGATAAAACAAAATTATCAATGAAACGTTAAGTCCATTGTGATTACTATGTCAATCCATTAGTAATGTAAGTTTGTTCTGTTAGGTTTGTTTGTTGTGTACCCGTCATTTATAAGTTGCTAAAATGGTGCTGGTATATTATTGAGATCTATTGAATGGAGGGTATTCTTAATTAGTGATCCAAAGTCAGTCGCTGAAAGTGATTAGTACTGTGGACTGCAAGAGCCTGGTGGGCTATTCATTGTTAAGCTTCTTTGGCAAAAAAGTGCCAGTTCATAGGGGATAAATAAAAATAACCTACTGTGTGTAGTAGATGCACATTACTTGTGTTCATGTTAAGTTTCATTGGTATAAATAGAATAAGAGCCGATCCTTTACTGAGATGATGCATAAGACTCTTTTTTGAAGCTGTAGTAGGGGTAAGTTGAACCACAAGCTGTGGAGGAAAAGAGAGCAAAGTGAAGAAATTTCTGAAATTTTTTGTAGCATTATGAAAACTTTTCTCACAGGAAAAGGCTCCATATTACCCCTGCAGACTGAGTATATTGAAAAACTATCTCTTTAGGTTGGTAGAGAGACTTTCACTGGTGGGATTATGAATCATTTTCTTTTAAAAGATTCCAGAACCCTAACCAAAAAATGGAGGCGCAAAAACAATCTTCATTTGCATTCGCCTTTCTTCTGATGTTTGAAGAATCTTATGTGCAACAAATGCAAATAGTGTTACAGAAGTACCACTCAATAGCTGTATTTGCTAAAAATGTGGTTCTTGTTTCATTAGCCTATCAACATTCTGTCATTTTGATCATTAGCCTGTTCCTGACATCCAGGCAGTAAAACAGAGTGATATGTTAATTGGTGTGATAGTAGTGGCAGATTGACAATGCATGGGAGGTTTGGTTTCTTGACCCGGCCCAACCCAACCTGCCCTGATCTTCTGCTCCTTCACTATTATCACACCATTTAATATTGTGCTTTGTGTTACTAACTGAACACTTGGAAAAGGGTACCTTGTAGTTTGAGATTGTAGGGATTCAGGATGCATGTTCTTCTTACCTCACATCTGTTTGCATTAATCCAGTTGGTGAGGTTCTCTTGTGAGAAGTTGTAATTTGATGGATATTTCTGATATTGGTAAAGAATAGTGTGACATGAGAAAAAAATTAGAAACAGTTCAATTTCACATACCTTTGAAACTAATGTTTCCTTATTTTGATAATTTTAGGAGCTAACAAAAAATGTTTAGGATTTTTAAAAATGTTCTTTAACAATTGGAAAGCTGTTGTGTGATAAAATAAAACATACTTTGCCAACACAATGAGTCAATTTCACAACAATTAAATTTAGACATGTTCCTTTTCAGTTGTACTTTATTGTTTTTGATGGTTTTTTTCCTTCTTCTTCCTTTTTTCTTTCTTCCATTTTAAATGCTACCATTTCCCTTGTGCAAGTCTAGACTTAGTGTAAATTACTATCTCATTATTTTGCAATGTCCTCCTACACCATAACCAAGCTCCATAAAACAATGTCATTATGTGGGAAAAGGGAAATAACAACAACAACAAAATAACTGCCTAAACAGTATATTCCACCTTATTAAAGTTGACTTGAGAACTCCCCATATCTTACTTAGTTATGTATCAAACTTACTATAACAGCCTTGTTAAGACAATGGTAAGACACTCCACTGTTATCAGCTTCTGCATCAGAAGCAAGCTTGCCATTTGTCAAAACAAGGAACAAAGGCTTGGACTCTAGAAATTACAACAACATAACATCTTAGGTGACCATTTTTCCTATATGAAGGTTTTCCCCTGTATTGTTGCCATGTAAAAGCTTAAGAAGTAAGCCAGTTACACTGCAGTTACGTATCAGATGAGTGAAAAACAAGTAAAAATACTGTATTTAAATAATAACTTCTCATTCTATTACCAATATCAGAGAGGTTGTGTGTGATAATACTACTCTATGAAAAATTGGCTACAATCAAACATTTTACAAAGGTAAGTGCTTTGATGACCACTTATTAATGGAGGCTGGCTATTTAAAACAGAGTGACAAAACTTTAGAGGGTGATGTAGCAAAAGTACACAGTAAACAAAATTGATCAGGTAATCTACATTTCACAATATTATTAATAACACTGGACTTATTCTATAGGCTATGAGAGCAATTTGAAATGGCAGATGACTTGGCTGAAGCTACTTAACAGTATATATTACACAGCTTCCTACCAAAAGATTGATACAGAAGTAACATCAGTCTATCCAAACACACCTTTTGCAACAAACTGCAATGTCAAACTGAAGAATATACTGTATCGTGCACTGTCTAGTGCAGTCTGGTTGAAATAAGCTATGACAAGCTCCTTGATAGAAATAGTTATTTGTTAGTTATACAAAAGTGTTTCAGAATCAAAGAACTCAATGCATTTATTAAAACTGGCTCACTATACCCAAACTAAGAACTGAAACTAAGAGACTTCAATGAAAGGGAAGGGGGGAGGGGGGCTTTAGACCCTTATGAGGTCTTTTGTCAACCCACACAGCGAGCACTCAGAAATGTTCTCTTTGGGGGTGTTTGAACATTACAGCAACATTTAATTTCATATCTTCATTGCTTTTCCCCTGGTCAGCAAACTGATTGCTACCTCAAGAAAAACACTCCTAGCCAAACACTGAAGATAAAGTTCTTTGAAAAAAGATGGTTTGAATGATTCTGATGGTATTCACTCCCCCCTCCTGCACAAATTTTAACTTTCCCCTTTCCAATACTCCTTTCTACACAAGTCATGCAGGCTGAGTTATTATTCATATATCACCTGGCTCTGCTTTGCCAAAGTAAGTTCTGCTTTGGTACCTATGTACATAAATGGTCTGATCACAGATTGAAGAAATGCAACCTGTAATAAAGATGTTTCAATTAATCAAATTATTAAGGGATGGTATTGCATGGATATCAGAACACCGCTAAGTAAATGTACAGATTGTTTTGTTTGAAAAATTGGCAGCCAGATTCCTAGTATTTTCCAGCCAAACGGCATCATTCAGCTCAATCCAGTTTAAGGGATGAATACAAAAATTGAACAATATTCCAAGCCTTGGCCACTGAGTTGAGTAAGGGTAAAACTGAGCATGATGTCATACTCAATTTCCTACTTTGTGACCCTCTCTCATTTGGGCAAAGTTTCCAGCCTAAAGATCAAATAAAAAGTCTCAAGCATACCAGACAATTTGTAATTATATCAGATTTAATTATTAAACTGAGTAGAGAACAATTTGTATAGGTAATCATATGATTTTGAGTGCAATTTGGGATAAATCTGCACAAGTAAATTTTTAAAAGGCTCACCAAATTGCACAAACCTGTAGGGCTGATAGATATTGGTCAATAGCAATAACCACATGAAAACTATTACGCTTGTAATCTTCTCCTCTTTTGTATGAACTGTTATGTAAACTCTTTGAAAATTATATTCAGGGGCTCTGGTCCATTCTTCCATATCCTTGTTTGGAAGCCAGACTTTAAACCAGTTGTTTTTCCTTTGTTGGGTGTTTTTGTACTTAGTATTCTCCCTTAAACTCTGAATTGAAAGGTTCCTTTCTCCTCACTTGTGTTGTCCTCCATTTTGATTAATTGCACTTTCACGACTGTCAATCAATTCAATTTCACCTTTCTGCACTCAATTTCAACTTTCTGCACTGGTTAGGATTAATTGACATGCTCTCAACCAATGAGTGTGCTGAAATTTTTGCATGTGTATTATTAGGTCTGAAATCATGCGCATGATTTCAAATCACTTGTATGATCTCAGACCAAATTGCACTCCACTCAGTTCAGTTACCACTTCATCACATGAATTTTGAAATAGCAAAATACAGTTACTTAATACAAGTTTATTTTAGTATGTGTAAGTATTTTATTGATCCAGTATATTGAGCTGGTTTGTTAAAAGTTTCAAAAGTTGCCTCTCATTTCCTTGCAATTTGATTGATTTCCTAAAACAAGCCTTGACATTTGACTGGTTGTAGTGTTGTAGTTAAGTTTTCTCATTGGCCGGGAAAAAGATGGGATTTGAAGCATAAAATGGCGCAATTTGTGAATAAATTGCCCTGGCAAGACCCACTTTACGTCAGAAAAAGTCTGTATCTTCTTCTGGTAATTCTTGGAAATTAAAAATAACTAATGCATAATGCCTATGCCTATGTTTTCTTTAATTCCTAAAGTGATCACTAAATCAAAAACATTCTTTTAAAAAGGTCATTGGATTAGCTATTTCTGAAGAAGATTTCCTTGTTAGACTTGCTTTCAGTAAATTAAGCCTTTGCGAGACTGCAACAGGAATTAAATTTATGTTACAAAGTAATAGTAACACAAACTAATGTCACCTGATCACTGATCAGGAGTGGCACTTAAAGCATAATCACATAATTGAGTATTACTCACCATTCTGAATGTTTTGTGTACTCCTTTGTACTCCACTCCATCAAAGTGTGAGTGGATTGCTACTAATTTTGGATACAAATCCAGTTTATGATGTAGAGAACAAGTGCCTAACCAGCAATTAATGGCGATGAAGGATACCTGTAGATAAATGATAGTTACTACTGGCACTTTTTAGGCCCTGTGGTTTACACCAAAAAATGTAGGTCAAAGGACTTCTCTGTTTTTTTACATGTAGCTAATTTTACTCTTACTACAAAAAATATTTCAATTTCATGATTAAATATTGCCATACCCAAATATAAAAGTGCTAATTGGGTTAATTTAAACAAATTTCTTAGATAAGTCTTTAGCATCAAAGAAATTTAATATCTTAATTGAGTAAAAAGGTTTACGAAGAACAATGTATCCAATACAAAACTGCATTTAATTCCCATAAAAAATAATGAGGACCTTAGGAAAGAAATGGAAAAGAGAGAGACCTAAACATTAGTAAAGAGACTTCTAAAAAAGCTACTAGAGGCCAATTAAAGAAGTTTGGAGATGAATGAATTGCTGCATAAGACAATGTTTAGAAGTAAATCAATAATGCAATATAAGAGTTAGGACAATTCATTTCTGAAAGAACTTTTAAAAGTTGCTTTCTCCATATGCCCTGACTTATAGGTCTTCTTGATCTTACATAAGTTTCTCAATAACATTTGTGTCAATTCACCATTGAAAAAGGTTGTACAATTACAAGAACAGCTTTCTGCTCTTTTTGCTAGCTTGAAACTTTATAATAATGCTGTTCAATCAGTACAACAATAAAAAAGCACAAATAAAAAAAATCTTTTCTTAAAGTGGTACTAAACTATGGAATTCATTTCTGAAGACAATCCATTTAGTGAATATCCATCATCATTTAAAATCCGAATTAACTCTCACATCTTCTCATTATCTGAGATAGCTAAATCATAGAGTAGGAATATTGTTGAATAGATTATTTCATGATTAGTTATTTTAACATTTCAACATACTTCTTAAAAATGTAGTTGTTTAGATTTTAAATTGAGTACCTATACTCATATCCCCCTTGTAGAAATTGACTTAGTTGACAAGGCAAGGGTGTTTTTTAAATAAATTGTTACTTACTTCAATCTAAGTACAACAGTACCTCTATGAAACATACAAATTGTTCTGTATGTCTCAACTGAAGGTTGGTGTCCTGTGAAGGCTAGTGTAATTAATTGCCTATGAGCCGAACAATTTTTCCAAAGTAAAGTAAATTGAGAACTAGTCAAATTTCAACTTGACTGGAGAGCTTCTGCCAAAAGAATACAGTAAATTGAATGTATATTTGCGTGACTATTAATGATGCCTCAATGTTTGATGAACTGTTGCACAAGTGGTCACATTTATTTACTCCTAACAAGTAAAATTAGATCACATTAAATTCAAATTTTCTCTTTGCTGTTGTTTTCAATTAAAAAAAAAAACAACAACATGTACATGTGATTTAATTGATATGTTTATTCAGAAACTTCTTAACAGTTGCATGCGAGTGTTTCCCGAGTGGGAAGATGCTAATTTTTGTTTGATTATGATTTATGGTTATGTTTAATCATCTCACTTTACAATGTGCGTGGAGGGCTTCACAATATTTCAATAAAAGTTTTGGTCTCCATTCATAGCTACAAGTTTATGGTTTACTTTTCACTAGAATCCAACAGTTTCTCAAAGCTAAAAGTTTTGGGTCTTGACTTATAGATGGGATCGGCTTGTAGGCAAATAAATACTTCCTGAACAGACAGCTTACCTCTCTATAAAGTACTTCAGCAGTATTATTGAACTCTTTGGCTGCAATCCATGACTGACTACACCAGGGTGCATAAAATAGTACAAAAGTAATCTTGTCTTTTCTGAGCAAGTCTTTGAATGCCTCCATGGAACCATTTGATATCTCAACAACTTTTCCAGTATTGGTAAAAAATTTACGGGATTTAGAAAGTTGCAAAAAGTTTGGGTCTCCACTAGAAACAAGAACACAAGGTCTAGTTGAAAAAAATTGATAAATGTAAAAACCGCATACAATCAATCACTGAATGATTAACTAACTGACCGAAAGACCTACCAGCCGAGGACAGGTAATCAAATGATAATGATAATTGTATTTTCCACAAGAGTTTGTTTCAAAAGGTTTATTTTTTTGTGCGACTGAAACCTGTATCCCATCAAATTGAATTTTTTTCTACTAAATAACTATTTGGAGAGGAGAAACAGCTATCGATAAAGGTTAGGAGCTTACTTGTCAAAAAACCACGTACATCTGGATAATAACAACTGTGAAATTCCATGAATGAGTAGAAACTGATATTTAAACAACATCACGGTGGCATGTTCTCTTACTGAATCGTCTTACAGCGAATCCCCGCCATCTTGGAAACCTCGAGCCTAATGTCGTTTGCAATGCCTGTCAGCGGTTTAGTCAACGGGGACCAACCTCATTCCCAGGAGTTTTCGGTCGATGTTCCGAGATTGTCGCCAATTCGTCATTAAGCCGGCTAACTACAGATGGCGGTTTTGGTTGCCTGAGAAACGAATTCTATCCAAATATTGCGGTTGTTTTCGAGTTCTCTGAATTAAAAAAATCACCATAATCCTGCTTTGCAGGTAAGAGTTATATTTCAGAATAGGTGGATTGTGGTGGCACAGATTATGTTACCAGCTCCTGATGTCATCACCTGCAAAGCACCCAGTTGTTGTAAAGACTGTGCTAACCTCTTGAATATAATGGAATGTATGAGGGGTGTAAATGAAGGACTTAAAAAAAATAAATGCCTTATCTTTGTCTAAAAAACCAGTATAAGGTGAGATAGACCTTATGTACTCAGATGTGACAATTTTTGCCTCTACAGGCCATTTGAAATGTCCCTTTAGTGAATTGTTCCCAATTGCTGGTATATATCTAGGAATCTGAGACAAGGCTTGAAATTACATGCTGGGCAGCTTTGACCTTCCCAGTTCAAATTAAAATCAAACTAAAATCAACTCCAAAATATTGAAGATAGCACCAATCTGGTGCTTCACCTCCAAGCCAAATTCTAGGTTCAATCCTTCAGTAGTTTCAAATAAAATCAAAACTACCCCTTTCTGAATATGATCAGTGCTCACCATGGTGACCACAGGAATTTGAGCATTCAAATTGATCAATCAGCCTTTGGTAGCCCACAACAACCTGTGAGAGTATGGTGCTTACACTGCCATATTTTTCAGGGTATGTCGATTGCACTACTTAAAATTTTATTAAATTGCAAATGACTTTGTACTTATGGACTATATAGAAATGTTTACTGTAAGATTGAACTTAATTCTAATGAGACAACAAAAGTGAACCAAATATTTCAGTTTGTTTCAAATTTTCAGGAGAAATAAACACCAAAATGATTTGTTAAGTTTTGTGAAATCATGAAAATAATCATAATTTACAACAAAGTGGATTACCTTTGCCCTAGAAAATCCAAAACATTTAAGTGTTAATAAATGGAATGCATTGCAACATTGTAAAATAGCAACGTTTGCATGCGTTCAAGTAATATCTTCTGAGAAGAAGGTACAGTCAAAATTTTGCAGCTGCTTCCAGGCAGCTTGATTCAATGAAAGTCAACAGTTTATCTCGTTTCTCATGTGCTGTGTTCTTTATATAAATATGTCTAACATCAGTAAATCCAATCAAGCCAAATATATCCTTTAAGTAAGGGACCTGATAGTCAAGCGTTTTCATCTGGCCTGTAGAATAGTCCCCCCCGGACGAGGTTATAAGTAATAACGGTCTGTTCGTTAACAGTCCTTGTGGACCAGTTGATGTTTCCCTGAAGGTCAATCCAGGTTGAACAACGCAATCTATGTACTGTTTCAAAACATATGGGATGCTGTAATTCCACATTGGACACGACACAACCAGCTTATCTGCCGAAAATAAAGTTTTTATCATCCTTTCCACTGGTTCAAAATTCACTTTGTCTGATGGTTCATCTTGACCACTCACCATTCGCATTTTGCTGGCCACGTGTGATAAATCGTATTGTAAAAGTTCCTTATCCCACAGGTTAATATCTTGAACAATATGATCAGCATGCTTTGATTTATAGGCAGTAAGGAATGTTCTCGAGGCCATCCCAGTATATGACCTCTCATCTGAACCTGAAGAGTTTAGGTGAAGTATTTGTACGCGGCCATTCGTTAGGTGTAAATCACCACTTGACTTGACTTCCCCTTCAAATGCTGAAATGTAAGAACAGTGTCTGATGGGTATAGCCCTAAATACATTCCTGAAGAAATGCAAACTGTGCTCTACGCAGGAAGAAAGTGCTGTACTGACCACCATATTTGGGAGTTATACATCACGGGCGACGAGTGGGGAATGAAGAAAAGACCGAAATACGAGTGGTCAGCGGGGAAACAAATTTAATACTTCATATAGAGACATATCAGTTATAGTTGCGGAAAACAATAGTGTTGTAAAGCCGAAATATTAACAGTATACTTCGCTAACTAAAATGTGAAGCAATTTTTCAAAAGTGTTGATGGCACATATATCTTTTACTGCTGTAATAAACAATAGAGGCATCGGAAAAGGCATCGGTGGTATCCGGAAAGGCACCAAGAAGAATTATATTTACGTTTTGTAACTTGCTGTGTGACGAAAAAAGAAAACCAAAACCGTGGTCCCCAAATGAATTCTCCCACCTTGCCCAAAAAAATTTTCAAATTTTCCGCAACTTCACCTTTTCCTATTCGTAGGTCCGGCCAAGCCTTTATGGTCATTGGCTCCCGTATAGCTTACTGTCAACTTCAAGGTTAAAACCCGAGAGATTCCTTATCAAATTATCCATGTGTTAGGCAGTTTTGTCTAATTCCGAAGAATTCATCTTCTTCTCTCCTTATATAAACTTTTCAGTTTTTACACTGGTGAACCAAAAGAAAGCCAGGATATCTACCGTTGTGTTTTTACATCGTACGTACGCGCCAAATATGTCATTATAAAAGTTTAGGTTGTCAGGATGGTTTCTCATTAATGCGCGATAATTCATTTCCGCTATGCCCTCTGATAACTCCAAAAAATGTTGTCCTGGTATATGCCT